TATATGAAATGTAGTTTTTAGTAGTCTCGAAACTCTACTTATAAATTTAAAATATAAGAATATAAGCAGTGTAGTCTTGCAATAGTGTGGAAAACTTTAGACTTTAGTTTATGCAAGATTTGAACTATGAGAAGCTGGATTTCGAAGGATTTCATAATAGATTGATGATAGTATACCTTTCATATCGCTTTAAAAGGTGGGTGAAAGGGATTCGTATATTGGCCTCACCTGATACCAAAGAAGGGTTTCCTTGAACTTGTGACTGTTGGATTGTGCAAATAATACCTCAGCTCACCACCCTGCGACCTCGATAAATCCGTTCTGATATTTTAACCGCCAAGTGACGGATATAGTCAGAGCCAGGAACCATTGTTTAAGAACATTCACCAAAAAACAATAAGTTAAGATAGGTGGATGGCTGAAATTTTACTTCTTATACCTCATTTTGTGATTTTTATGAGGGATTCCAAGGATTTAGTTGGCTATTTTGCGTTTATCTTATCTGCATGTAGAAGAATAAAGTTGATGAAGGAAGGAGAGCGGATGTAGTAACAGCCTTTCTTTATGGAAATAAACTATAGTATGATCCTGCAATACTGAGGCTTTGTTTAGCCTCGTGGATGCCTGTGCGTTGTATGCATGCAATACTCATATGTTAGTTGGCAATTTCGAGCCCAAAACCAAACTATAGGTTAGTCATGTATTCTCTTACTCGGTGGCTTTTCCTGTTTCCTATCTTTATCTATCTCCTTAATTTTAGCCAGCAGCAAAAGATAGTTCAGGCTTAATTTCTTGCGCTTGTTACTCCTATTTCGAATGGTATTAGTTTTGTTGATCTCACTTGACACCCAAATCTTTCACTTAGCTATTAAGTCCTCATATTCGGCAAAACGTTGGATTTTATACCATCTTATCTGGTCTCCTGTGGTCATTGTAAGTTCAGCCATCTCCAGTTTCAAAATCCATAATTTTTTGCAGAGGGTTTTATGTTCAAACAAACTCTTATGTATGTACCAAATGACGGACGAAGACTCAGCCTGAATTCGAGTCGCAGGACGGTCAGTCGAGGTCTTCTTTGAACAGGCCAACAGTTACAAGCCCAAGGAAACCCTCCTTCGGTATCCGAGTAAGGCTACCTAACGAGTCCCTTCCACTCGCCTTTTCAAACGAAATAAAAGATATGCCGACAAGATCTTAACCGAATAACCCAATGAATATAAGATGTCAATCTAACAGTGATTAAGAAGAAATTAAGGCTTTAAAATTTAAAAATGTGAGATAAGAGCACACTGATTTGTTTGTTCAGTGCATCCTGTTAAAATCTTAAAAGGCTATGGACGACTGTTCAATGTGGGAAATATGATATATAAAGGCTGCTAGACAGAGGCTCTTATCTCTCCACTAAATTTGCAAGTTAAGTAGAGCCTTTGTATTAGTTGTAGAACCGGCCGCAAAAGCAAACTAATGTTCATATCTTAATCTCTCTATTAA